TTTAGGATTTGGGGTTTAAGGTTCAGGGTTTCAGGATTTGAGGCTATGCTTGGAGGCCTGTGGCGTGTAGGATTCACGAGTCCGGAGCGAGGGGCTTGGCTTTAGGGTTTGGGGCATTATCCCGCACCCCAAACCCGAAATCCTCAAATATGTATCTTGGGGTTTAGAGGGTTATGGAGGGGAGTATAAAGTTTACGGCCTTGGGAAGGCGCAAAGAGTCACACTATGTACAAACTCGTCCTCAAGCCTGCTACACCCTCAAAACCGTAAACCTCTTCGCTGTACCCCAAACCCTCTACCCCAAGCCCGAAACCCCAAACCCTGAACCCGAAAACCCCATCCCCAAAAACTCGGAGAACCCTAAACCCTAAACCCTAAACCCTAAACCCTAAACCCCTAAACCCAAGCTCTCTACCTGGAAGCTTCTGGGGCCTTCTCACCGGCTCCTGGACACCGAACCTCGGGACGTCGCTTTCTGGAGAAGTTACCCCTGGGTTTAGGGTTTAGGGTTTAGGGTTTAGGGTCTAGGGTTTCTCAAAGTTCGTAGTTCGACCCTAGACCCTACAAAAGAGAAGACAACGCGAAACCCTCAACTGCCAGAGCCCTAAACTCTAAACCCCCAAACCCTAAGCCCCTGATACTACCCCTCACAATCAAAGTAACCTCCTTTCTTAGGAACCTTTTTTGCAACCCTAACTAAACCCTAAACCATGAAACCCCTAAGCCCTAAACCCCTAGCCTGGGCCAGAAGACCCGAGCCGAAAGGCCTGGGACTTGGGAACTCTCATGCCTCTTCCTGGCTTCTAACCCCAGGTTTAGGGTTTAGGGTTTAGGGTTTGGGGTTTGGGGTTTAGGGCTTAGGGTTTGGGGTTTGGGGTGTATGTGTATATATGTATAGAGACACGCGCAGTCATATGCATGTATATAGTTCCAAGCACAAGTAAAGTATGCGTTACAACATGTTACAACAGGCTTATAGAGAACTTGGGACCCCAGCAACAATTATAGATAGGGAGCATAAGAACCAAAGATTAAGAAATACTTTTAAGTACCCCTAAGATGCAAACAACCATCGACAGCGTGAATCCCAAACCTTCCAGCCCAACCTGGCCGCTCAGCTGTCATCAACTGAGATCTGACAGCATGCCGCAACAAACCATCAAAGCTGTTGAGATTCTGCAACCACTTGAACTAAAACACCCTGCACAAAGCAACCTAAAACCGCAAGTCAGAATCCACCACAAAAGCCCGCGCACCTTCCAAACCCTCTAAACCCAACGCCCTACCAATAAACTCTAAAAGCTCTCAACCTTCTTAGGCTCCGGGCAATGATGCGATCGGGAACATCGCCGCTGCGAAGGACCTGCCGCGGCTTTTTGGGGCTTGATCAAAGGGCCTTAATGATTAGAACAGGGCTTGGGGGTATATTGGACTACTACATAGTATGTAGGGACTGCAGGGTGATAACATGACTACTTATTCCGGATTTTGTATTCGGGTCGAGTACAGTTCAGGGCGTTGGATTTAGGATTTTGGGAATTCAGGGTTCAGGGATTAGGGTTCAGGGCTGCGTCCTGAAGGAGAGTTGGGCTTGCGTGAGCTTTGTCCAAAGGGTCAGTCATGGTGACTGGTGGTGAAGCGGTGGCTTCGATTGCATCATCATCATCATCATCATCATCATCATCATCATCATGGCAATGGCAATGGAAATAGAACGGCAATAGGTAACGGTACTGGTGATAGCAGTGCTGATAGTTACAGTAGGGTTCTATAAGGCTCTGTTTTCACAAACGGGGTCCGCAGCTGTTGAGTTACTACTACTACTACTACTACTACTACTACTACTACTGCTGCTGCCATTGCTACTACTGCTACTACTCCTGTTTCTGCTATACTACTACTAACACTGCTGCTGCTACTACTTCTACTACTGCTGCTGCTGCTGCTGCTACTACTGCTACTACTTCTGCTGCTAGTAGTACTACTCCTGCTACTACTACTACTACTACTACTACTACTACTACGACGACGACGACGACGACGACGAGTCCATTACTAGTGCTGTTATTACTGTTAGTAACTTTGTCACTAGAGTCAACCCGGGGCCTCGGCGAGGGTGCCGTTCAGCTGGGGCGCCGACTTGAGGCCGCAGATGCGGACGACCTTGTAGTACATTAAATTATGTTATAAAAGTTATAAACATTCTCATATATTTCCGCATGCACATGAATATTATGGTATCTAGTTATATTGTGGTATATTATGGTATATGATAGCATAATGATAGCATAGATAGTACATGATTTGGGACGGGGCCAACGAGCTATGGTCTCTGAGGGTGTGGGATTAACGGCAACATCTTGAGCTTCAGCTTTAGCGTGTAGGGCGTCGGATTGCCCCCTTTGGTTTTAGGGTCTGATAGTCTGAGGTTCAAGGTTTTTTCAGGATTTAAGGTTCAGGGTTTGGGATAAATCAAATCAAAGCCTGCCCTGCGACGCAAGCCCTAAACCTCAACCCGAGGTCCTCAAGCAAATTTACCACAGGTCGTCTCAGCTCCCCACGGATCCAACCGCCAAGGGCCTGCAGGCAGAGCGACACACCAAGTTCACTGAAGGATCGACTTGGACAGAACCGGCTACCAGCCGTACACGCGCTATAGGCCCTGAACCCCAAAACAACGGAACTCCCTAAATTCCCTAACCCCTTGGAATATGGGTTTGCAAGAGGGGAGGGGCGGGGCGCTCGGGTTTAGGCTTGCAGAGCGCAGGGCTTTTAGGATTGCGGGTGTTTTCCATTTTGGGTCGAGAAATGTAAGGGCTTTCAACTTTGGGCTCAAACTTGGGTGAAGGCCGGACTCAGGGTTTCGGATTCAGCTTCGGGGCCGAAGACTCAGAGCAGGAAGTACAAACGCGATCAGCACGGTGTCCCGGGCCCTTGGACCCTGTACATGAGAGCCTCATCCCTAAAACCCCTGAAAAAGCAGACGAGGCGCAATGGGTCATCGGAAGGCGCGGCCGGAGAAGAGTTCTTCCGGGATTGCAGCATTTCCGGTGGAAGGACTTTGTAGGGTTGAGGCATGGGTTAGGCTTTGATTGTCGTGGGTCTAGGATGGGAAAACATGACCAGTGACATATGCAGTCTTTAGAAGCTCTATTGTCGGATAACATTCGTGCTGCTTTCAAGTCTGAACGACTTTACTGCTACAAGCAGCAGGGGCAACAGCTGCAGCAGCGCAGCATGTCGATCAACGTAGCGATCCGTAACCGTCGTAGTCGTGAAAAGACTATATGTGGCTCCTGCAAGGCATAGTGGTCGTCAGCGAAGGTCGGCATGGTCAGTCGTCGTCCTGTCCATGCCCTCGTTCACGCCCTCGTTCACCCCCTCGCCTTCAGCCTCGCCCGCAGTGGCAGTAGCAGTAGCAGTAGCATTCATTCCACGCGCAGTTAAGGTGAGCTTGCTTCCCGATGTATGGCACACTGGTGCGTGGCAGCAGAGCTGCGATGACAGCATTTCACATCCAATCTGCTCCTCCGCAACGAAGCTGGCCCGGTTCCCATGAACAACTGCCCATTTCTCAACTCTGCGTGTCGCCCATGCACGAGGCCCATACGAATGCTCTTCTTCGTGTATCGTTTCAGTCTTTCCGGATGATCCTTGGAAGGAACCCATCATTGCAGCTTTACTCCCAATTGCAATGAACTGCATCCAGCAGTACAGCAGGAAGTCTGTTGCGAGGACCCATCGCGCATTTGGAATGTAATATCCTGCTCCTCTACTGCTACTCGTACTGATCCTGCCGCTGCTCCTGCTCCTGCTCCTGCTCCTGCTCCTGCTACTGTCCTGATCTCCTGCTCTTCTGCTCTCCTGTCCTGCTGCTCCCGCTCCCCGCTCCCGTTACCCGCTCCCTGCTCCTGCTCCTTCTCCTGCTCCCCCTTCTCCTCACGACGAGCCTAACCCTTGTATCCCAAAGCCCAAGCCCTCCACCCTCAACCTTTATAAACCCTAAACCCTCCACCCCATCAACTTCCTATTTGCACGACTCCTCTTCCTTGGCAGCTGGCGGTGTCGTTGCTTTGGGCTCCTCCGAGCTTCGTGCGCAACAACCGTTCAGGTAGCAGTGGTAGTAGTCATAGTAGTCAGTAGTCATGGTCGTCGTTGTAGTCGTTGTAGTCGCTGTAGTCGTAGTAGCCGTAGTATAGTCGTAGTAGGAGTCGTCGTCGTCGCCGTCGCAGTCGCTGTCGCCATCGCCGTAGCGGTAAGTGGTAGGTGGTGAGTGGTAAGTGGTAGATTGTAGGTGGTGGTGTCAGTGGCAGTGGCAGTGGCAGTGGTAGTGGCAGTGGCAGTGGCAGTGCTAGTGCTAGTGGTGCTAGTGCTAGTGCTAGTGCTAGTACTAGTACTAGTACTAGTACTAGTACTAGTACTATCAGCAGTCGTCGTCGCAGTGGTAGTGCTAGTGCTGGTGCTGGCGCTTTCTCTAATGCTAGTGATAGTGGGAGCG